TTCTCTTCCTAGCACCAGTTTCAACTGTGCATGTGACTATTTTTAAATGAGAAACGAGCCACGGTTCAGAGGTTGAAAACACTGCTTTAAATATCCGTATTACCAAGATCATGCAGTTAAAATCAATAATTCTAAACTTCTCCGCGTCTATAACTTTAAATAATAATACTAGTTTCAATAATAGGGCTCCTCTACCTTAAATATACTGCTGTTCTAATCTCCTTGTGTCTCATGCTAAAGCAAGAGTCTAATTAATTTTAACGATTGTCCTGTATTCTTTCATGCAGCTAAATGTGGTGTTATGAACGAATGACCTAGCTAAATGTGTAAATATGACTTAATATGTCTCTGTGCTTTTGTTGCCTGTCTGTATATTTACCTTCTGTGTGTCTCATTTAGGCCAGCCACGTCTCAAATGTCCGTTAATGTCTTTCTTTTACTCATGGCGTCTTTCAATGTCTTTTGTCTCAAAGTGTCCAATGTCTTTGTCTCCATGTCTTTTTCCTTCTTCTTTAAACAATCACTTTCTTTCTTCTTTCAATCACTTTCTCATGTCTTTCTTTGTCTCAGTGTGTGTCCTTCTTCTTCTTGTTAGGTTTACACAACGTTCTTCTCCGTGCACATAACTCCACTCGGTTTGTGCAAAAGTCTGGTTCTTCTCCATGAAATGGAGGCCGGAGAGGTCTTCTTCGAGAGTTCCTGTTAGCTGCTGCAGCCGATGCTGCAGTCTTTGCTGCCCCCTGTGGGTGAAACGGGGGAGACGCAGATGGTCCGTGCTGATGGCGCTCGATTGAGGTCTTGTGGCAGACGATTTTGGCCAAATGAGACAGACAGAAGTTTTCTCGGAAAAAACAGACAAACAAGAAGCACAAACAAGTGTGTTAATTACCATACGAAACCAATGATTAATTACAATTCAAAATAAACCTATGAAATAATTAATATTAACATTTTAAACATTAAATTCTGAAAACCAATTCTGCATTCAACTGCTATCCTAAGCCCTACTTTTTCCAAAAGTATAATGCTCTCTAAGATCATTCTAACTTTTATATCACCAAAATGTAGGGAAAAAAAAACTTGTCTAGACGCCTTGGAGATAAAAAATAAAATAATGCCTCTTTATAATCTAACTCAAAGTTCTGTGATCCTATGACTCCATGTTAGTAACATTATCGTGTGTATAAATGTAATTTTCTACAAAAAATATTTGGTATGCCTCTTTCTTAACTGGAGAGAGGGAGAGAGAGAGAGCAGACAGAAAGAGGGAGGGGGGGGCTGAAGCTCAAGCATTTTTCAGAGAGGGAGCCAGGAGGGAGAAGGAGGAAGAAGGAGGGAGAAGGAGGGGCTGTGTGGTTTCTCAAACAGAGGGGTACATGTACGACTGAAATACACCAAATTCATGAACATCCCCTTTAAAATTTGCTACATTTTCCTCGTTTTTTATCGTGACAATGTTTTATCAGTGGTGAGAGTTCTCTCACGTCAAACGACACTTTACATTTATTTAAATACGTCAGTAATGGAAAACATTACAATTTGCTACCTGATTAATGTATCGAGGGTTCCAGCAGAATCTTTTTTTTTTTCCCTGATTCGCTGTAACTATCGAAACATTACATCAGAATACAAGAGAAAAACTCCCAGACTGATCTTTTGTCATTTCTTCACATGAAACTCGTATACTACAGCCAAGTGGCTCCTTCTTTTCTCATTAATCAGATCATTATTATCAGAATCCACATTTTAAATACTTGGCTTTTTTCTGTTTAAATGTACCCTTTTTTCCCGCCCCCCGGGGGATATGGAGTTTTTATTATCCTATCACTTCTGACCCTAACTGCCCCTATTTCTCTAATTCTATTCCTATTTTTTCACTAATATGCTTGTGCCTCTTTTGCACTTCTAAACCCTGTGGACCTCTCATCCTGTATATTCTTTTTTAGAGCGAGACCAACATCCCTCAAGGTTCAAAAACGTCGAAAAACCTGACTATTGTTCTATCGCGTCCGATAGAACGCCCATCACGGCAGTCTTGTCCACACTGCGATCTGTCGAGCCAAAATCTCTCTCTCTTCTATTTAAAACAATGTGCAGATTTCCAAAACTGTGATCCGCTTACCTTAGAAGCGACCTTTTTGAAGAGCAGAGAGATTTTTCCAAACCCACAAATCCAGTCTCTATAACTGAGCTCATCTCTGTCCCGCTCCTGCCCCGATCACGTCGGGGTCACCAAATGAAGTCAATAATTCCCTTGACTGACGTGTTCGAGTTGATGCAGAGGCATGACAACAGATCTCCAAGTTTTAACATCTGTATTTAATTATCTTTACAATCAGATACAGAAATTCCAACAAAGAGGGCTCCTAAAACTATGCATGTCCCTGGCTCGCCCTCGGCTCATTCTCCTGTGTCCTCTCAAGCCAGAGCATTATCAGTCCATGTTCAGGAAGCAGGGGGCGTGTCGTATCAGGCAGGACTTGGGTCCGGCCTCTTCCATCATGTCCCCTCTGTCTGCCGTACCTTAAACAGAATCATTCACACACACTACCACTCCCCAAATTTATTACTTCTTTGAGATAAGGCAGAAGGCTCTCTGGGTCCCCCTCCTTCAGGATTAGCAGAATCCCCCCCCAGATTACCTATCATTAACTCACCCATGCACTTTGGACTAACAAAGGAACATGGGGAAACCAGGTCTTTTTGCTTTAGGAAAAGACAGTTCAAATCAGGGTCAGCCAATATTCACATCTGCATAGTTAAAATATACAACACCAACAAAGGTTATATTACAAGGTATTGAGTTGAATTTTTGTTATTGACCAAATACCTATTTTCCACTATAATTTACACATAAATTCTTTAAAAATGTCAATTCCTGGATTTTTTTTTCCACATTATGTCTCTCAAGGTTTAAATGTACCTATGATGAAAATGACAGACCTCTGTCATTATTTTAAGTGGGAGAACTTGCACAGTCGGTGGCTGACTAAATACTTTTTTGCCCCACTGTATATATATATTTCCAAATTCTTGCCTGTAGTAAATAACTACTGTTCAATTGGAGCTACTACACCCATCAAAACTGGGAAAATTATCTTTGTTGATTTTGAGTAAATTTTTCCAATTTCATTTTTGTTGCTGTGAAGGGGAAAACAATATTTTTCCCAAAGGTTTGTCTGTAGTAGCTAGCTAATGCTCAAATGGAGCTACTACACCCATCAAAACTGGAAAAAACATCTTTGTTGATTTTTAGTTAATTTTTCCAATTTAATTATTCCTACTGTGAAGGGGAAAACAATATTTTTCCCAAAAGTTTGGCTGTAGTAGCTAGCTATCATTGAATGGGAGCTACTACACCCATCAAATCTGGGAAAAAAAGTCTTCGTTGATTTTTAGTGAATTTTTCCAATTTCATTTTCAACACTGTGAAGGGGAAAACTGAAATTTTCTCAAATTCTTGCCTGTAGTAGCTAGCTATTGTTCAAATTGAGCTACTACACCCATCAAATCTGAGAAAACTGTCTTTGTTGATTTTTTGTGAATTTTTCCAATTTCATTTTTGTTGCTGTGAAGGGGAAAACAATATTTTTCCCAAATTCTTGCCTGTAGTAGCTAGCTATTGTTCAAATGGAGCTACTACACCCATCAATTCTGGGAAAAATATCTTTGTTGATTTTTAGTCTTTATTAGTCGTTTTGACCTTTTGCAATTTGCAGACGGTCCCTTGCGAATATCAGGCGTATATCAAACGTTCGGCCAACTTCACCTCGGTCTCCAACAGCTCACCCCAGAGCGCGCTCACGTTTCGGCCTTGTGCACGCACACACGTCACATACTCTTCAATGCACATACTCTTCGATCGCAATTCCAAAAGGTTTAATATTGTCAGTGCCCGTGACTGTGGTTCTCCTGCCTCTGTCTGTGGTTCTCCTGCCTCTGTCTGTGGTTCTCCTGCCTCTGTCTGTGGACCTCACTGTCCTGTAATCGCGAACGGTCTCTCTGTCAGTAACAATATCATTCAGTGCATTTCTGGTGCATCCATCGATAGCCGTGATACTGACCAGACGTCACCAGTTGTAGCTCAATGACTTTGAACAGCCGCATGTGTTTTATTATTAATCTTCCACAGTCCGTTTAGGATAAACTAAATAGAGGCTTCTGAAGCGGATTCTAATCATAAACGGAGAGACCGTTTGCATTATAACGCGATTACTACCACAACATTATTGCTGCTACTTCATGGATGTGGTCACTGTCTGTAGGAAATATCTTCACATAATCTGCAGGTAGAGGATGACCCATGGTCATGGATCTATAACAGGGATGACCCATGGTCATGGATCTATAACAGGGATGACCCATGGTCATGGATCTATAACAGGGATGACCCATGGTCATGGATCTATAACAGGGATGACCCATGGTCATGGATCTATAACAGGGATGACCAGAGACCGTTCCAGACAACAACACATACGAGTTTTCAACTGCACATGCGCAGTTGAAAACTCGTAATTTTGACTTTTAAAGTCGTAATTTTGACTTTTAAAGTCGTAATTTTGACTTTTAAAGTCGTAATTTTGAAGTCGTAATTTTGACTTTCTGTAGGATTTTTTTTTTACATGGGGGAAACGGGCTTCCATAATTATGACTACATTGTGACTACCAATAAAAAGCCAGCGTGATAGGAGAGGGGCTTCGTCTATGAGCACTTCCCTACTTCATTAAGCTAGTGAGTTAGCATTGTCCATCTGTGTACAGTCTCTGCTCCTGCTACAGCCTGGTACAGTGCATTTCTCCTTTTGACTAAAGTTTATTCTAAAAAAACATAATAGAGTGGATTATTATCATTGAAAAGGTTATTTATACCTTTAAAGTTAATTTAAAACACATTTAAACCAGTCTGATTTCTACAGCAGTGAGTTTGTAAAAGTAAGAATGAAATCTGAGCCCTGTCTGTCCTCTGTCTCCCCCTGCAGGAGAAAGAGAAGAAGTTCATGCTTCCTGTGGACAACCTGAGGCTGAAGGACGTGGAGAAGGGCTTCATGTCCAGCAAACACATATTCGCCCTGTTCAACACTGAGCACAGGTACGACCAACACTGAGCTGTGTCAAAGTCTCTATCTCTGAGCGCAGGTACGATCTGATGTCTCTATCAGACATCATAGAGTCACAGCAGACATCATAGAGTCACATAAACCTCAGATGGATCTGAGTAAACTCAGAGAAAACACAAAAGTTCTTTAACACATTATTTAATTGAATTTAATAATACGTTTTTCTACTATTTAAACGACCAACACTGAGCACAGGTAAAAGTGTCAAAGTCTCTATCTCTGAGCGCAGGTACGATCTGATGTCTCTATCAGACATCACAGTCACAGCAGACATCATAGAGTCACAGCATCATAGAGTCACAGCAGACATCATAGCGTCACAGCATCATAGAGTCACAGCAGACATCATAGAGTCACTACAGACATCATAGAGTCACAGCAGACATCATAGAGTCACAGCAGACATCATAGAGTCACATCAGACATCATAGAGTCACATCAGACATCATAGAGTCACAACAGACATCATAGAGTCACGTCACAGCAGACATCATAGAGTCACAGCAGACATCATAGAGTCACAACAGACATCATAGAGTCACAGCAGACATCATAGAGTCACTACAGACATCATAGATTCACAGCAGACATCATAGAGTCACAGCAGACATTATAGAGTCACATCAGACATCATAGAGTCACAACAGACATCATAGAGTCACGTCACAGCAGACATCATAGAGTCACAGCAGACATCATAGAGTCACAGCAGACATCATAGAGTCACAGCAGACATCATAGAGTCACTACAGACATCATAGAGTCACAGCAGACATCATAGAGTCACAGCAGACATCATAGAGTCACTACAGACATCATAGAGTCACAGCAGATATCATAGAGTCACAACAGACATCATAGAGTCACAGCAGACATGATAGAGTCACAGCAGACATCATAGAGTCACAGCAGACATCATAGAGTCACAACAGACATCATAGAGTCACAGCAGACATCATAGAGTCACAACAGACATCATAGAGTCACAGCAGACATCATAGAGTCACAACAGACATCATAGAGTCACAGCAGACATCATAGAGTCACAGCAGACATCATAGAGTCACAGCAGACATCATAGAGTCACAGCAGACATCATAGAGTCACAGCAGACATCATAGAGTCACAGCAGACATCATAGAGTCACAGCAGACATCATAGAGTCACAGCAGACATCATACAGTGACTGCAGACATCATAGAGTCACTACAGACATCATAGAGTCACAGCAGACATCATAGAGTCACAGCAGACATCATAGAGTCACAGCAGACATCATAGAGTCACAGCAGACAGCATAGAGACACAGCAGACATCATAGAGTCACAGCAGACATCATAGAGACACAGCAGACATCATAGAGTCACAGCAGACATAGTCACAGCAGACATCATAGAGTCACAGCAGACATCATAGAGTCACATAAACCTCAGATGGATCTGAGTAAACTCAGAGAAAACACAAAAGTTCTTTAACACATTAATTAATTGAATTTAATAATACGTTTTTCTACTATTTAAATTTTATTGTGTTCACAAAATATCGCGATACTGAAAAGAATCAAATATTCTAAAGCGTAAAACGGTGAGTGTGACACTGAGCCGAGGAGTTTACCTTTACATGTGAGTCAATAGGAGAAAAACTTTGCCCATGAGCACTTCCCTGTAAGGTTTCATTAAGCTAGCATGTTAGCATGCCTGTCTTTCACAGAAACGTGTACAAAGATTACCGTCAGCTGGAGCTGGCCACGGAGAGTCAGGAGGACGTGGACGCTTGGAAGGCCTCGTTCCTCAGAGCCGGCGTTTATCCAGAACGAGTCACGGTAAAAACATATTTTTCACTGGTTTGGGTTCGGAACCATGTGTTTCAGGTTTTCATCCATAACTGATGTTTTCATGTGAACTGAAGCCTCATTTCCACCAACGCCTCGCTGCACTAATGGGCACTGAGAAACACACAAGTCCTGGTTTAGTCTGGTTTAGTCCTGATTTAGTCCTGGTTTAGTCCTGGTTCAGTCCTGGTTTAGTCCTGGTTCAGTCCTGGTTCAGTCCTGGTTTAGTCCGAGTTTAGTCCTGGTTTAGTCCTGGTTTAGTCCTGGTTTAGTCCTGGTTCCGTCCTGGTTTCTGTTCTTATTCAGAAACCTCTGTGAGTTGGAGAAAAACTTCGCCCATGAGCACTTCCCCATAAGGCTATTGTCCTGTCTGTTAATCTTTGCCTTTCTCTCGCATGTTTCCGCGGCGACAGGAGAAGGAAGGAAAGGTATTTCAAAACAGCATGTGTAATAATCTCAGATAATCTCAGACTTAGACTGGACTCTGTGTGTACTCTGTGCCAGAGCGATGGCGCGGATGAGAACGGCTCGGACAGCTTTGGCCACAGTATGGACCCTCAGCTGGAGCGGCAGGTGGAGACCATCCGGAACCTGGTGGACTCCTACATGGCCATCGTCAACAAGACCGTGAGAGACCTGATGCCCAAGACCATCATGCACCTGATGATCAACAGCGTGAGTCACGGACCAGAACGGACCAGAACCGACCAGAAACAACCGTAACGGACCAGAACCAACCGTAACAGACCTTAATGGACCGTAACGGACCTTTCTCACTCAGTCATTGTTTTTCTATAAACACTAAAGCTAACAGATAAACATGAAACTACTTCTGACCAATGGAATGTGCTCCATAGAATCTGTTTTTACCCTTTACTCTTAACACATAAAACTGGTGGATATCGTTAAAATACTGTTGCATTTCCATTATGCTTCAGGTCTCTAGTAGAGTAGAAACAGTGGGAGATCTTCTGAACAGCAGCTATTGCTCTCTTTATCATTCCACCTCCATTCTCTCCTGATGTCTCTCTCCTGAAGTCTCTCCTGATGTCTCTCTCCTGATGTCTCTCTACTGAAGTCTCTCTCCTGATGTCTCTCTCCTGATGTGTCTCTCTCCTGATGTCTCTCTTCTGAAGTCTCTCTCCTGATGCCTCTCTCCTGATTCCTCTCTCCTGATGCCTCTCTACTGATGCCTCTCTCCTGATGTCTCCTGATGTCTCTCCCCTGATGTCTCTCTCTCCTGATGCCTCCTGATGTCTCCTGATGCCTCTCTCCTGATGTCTCTCTCCTGATGTCTCCTGATGTCTCTCTCCTGATGTCTCTCTCCTGATGTCTCCTGATGTCTCTCTCCTGATGTCTCCTGATGTCTCTCTCCTGAGGTCTCTCTCCTGATGTCTCTCTCCTGCTGCAGACTAAAGAGTTCATTAACGCGGAGCTGCTGGCTCAGCTGTACTCCTGTGGGGACCAGAACTCTCTGATGGAGGAGTCGGTGGAGCAGGCGCAGCATCGAGACGAGATGCTGAGGATGTACTTCGCTCTGAAGGAAGGACTCAGCATCATCGGCGACATCAGCACCTCCACCATCACCACCGCCATGCCCCCACCCGTGGACGACTCCTGGCTACAAGTGCAGCGCGGAGGCTCCGGCGGAAGGTAAACACTGCAGTAGAGGTGGAGTAACCACTGCACTAGAGGTGGAGTAACCACTGCAGTAGAGGTGGAGTAACCACTGCACTAGAGGTGGAGTAACCACTGCAGTAGAGGTGGAGTAACCACTGCAGTAGAGGTGGAGTAACCACTGCAGTAGAGGTGGAGTAACCACTGCACTAGAGGTGGAGTAACCACTGCAGTAGAGGTGGAGTAACCACTGCAGTAGAGGTGGAGTAACCACTGCAGTAGAGGTGGAGTAACCACTGCAGTAGAGGTGGAGTAACCACTGCACTAGAGGTGGAGTAACCACTGCAGTAGAGGTGGAGTAACCACTGCAGTAGAGGGGGAGTAACCACTGCAGTAGAGGTGGAGTAACCACTGCACTAGAGGTGGAGTAACCACTGCAGTAGAGGTGGAGTAACCACTGCAGTAGAGGTGGAGTAACCACTGCACTAGAGGTGGAGTAACCACTGCAGTAGAGGGGGAGTAACCACTGCACTAGAGGTGGAGTAACCACTGTAGTAGAGGGGGAGTAACCACTGCACTAGAGGTGGAATAACCACTGCAGTAGAGGTGGAGTAACCACTGCAGTAGAGGTGGAGTAACCACTGCACTAGAGGTGGAGTAACCACTGCACTAGAGGTGGAGTAACCACTGCAGTAGAGGTGGAGTAACCACTGCAGTAGAGGTGGAGTAACCACTGCAGTAGAGGTGGAGTAACCACTGCACTAGAGGTGGAGTAACCACTGCACTAGAGGTGGAGTAACCACTGCAGTAGAGGTGGAGTAACCACTGCAGTAGAGGTGGAGTAACCACTGCACTAGAGGTGGAGTAACCACTGCAGTAGAGGTGGAGTAACCACTGCACTAGAGGTGGAGTAACCACTGCACTAGAGGTGGAGTAACCACTGCACTAGAGGTGGAGTAACCACTGCACTAGAGGTGGAGTAACCACTGCACTAGAGGTGGAGTAACCACTGCAGTAGAGGTGGAGTAACCACTGCACTAGAGGTGGAGTAACCACTGCACTAGAGGTGGGGTAACCACTGCACTAGAGGTGGAGTAACCACTGCAGTAGAGGTGGAGTAACCATTGCAGTAGAGGTGGAGTAACCACTGCAGTAGAGGTGGAGTAACCACTGCAGTAGAGGTGGAGTAACCACTGCAGTAGAGGTGGAGTAACCACTGCAGTAGAGGTGGAGTAACCACTGCAGTAGAGGTGGAGTAACCACTGCAGTAGAGGTGGAGTAACCACTGCAGTAGAGGTGGAGTAACCACTGCAGTAGAGGTGGAGTAACCACTGCAGTAGAGGTGGAGTAACCACTGCACTAGAGGTGGAGTAACCACTGCAGTAGAGGTGGAGTAACCACTGCAGTAGAGGTGGAGTAACCACTGCGCTAGAGGTGGAGTAACCACTGCAGTAGAGGTGGAGTAGCCACTGCAGTAGAGGTGGAGTAACCACTGCAGTAGAGGTGGAGTAACCACTGCAGTAGAGGTGGAGTAACCACACACACACACACACAGTCATCATTATTATTCCTGTTGTAAATACTGTGACCATGTACTGCAACACTGCACATGTGACAGGTCTCCAGCCACCAGCCCCACCCCAAACCGTCGGGCTCCTCCTGGTCCTCCTGCGCGGCCTGGCTCTCGCGGTCCTCCTCCTGGGGCTCCTCCTGCTGGCGGTCCCCCTGTGCCCTCTCGTCCTGGAGCCTCTCCGGACCCCGGTAGCGGACCCCCTGTACCCTCCAGGCCCAACCGCGCCCCCCCCAGTGTGCCCAGGTTAGTGGAGACGCCTAGTAACACCAGAGCAGTCAATTTGACGGCTCTGGGAGTAACTACTCAGTCTATGTGAGTTTTACCGTATGCATTTTATTTCTGGTCTGGTCCTGGACTGGTCTGGTCCGGTCCTGGTTCTGAGCAGAATCAGCTTGGTTTTCCACTAGAGGAGATTCAGTGTTCATCACCATGGCAACACAGTTTACTTAAGTCTAAATGCAGTTTGTTTTTGCTGTATTTTAATCTAAAATAACATTTTTTTTGCACCTGTGGATGAAGGTTAAAAAAAAGAATAAATGTCTTACTTTTAATAAAACTAGTGGAAAACTAAGGAGAATGTCCCAGAATTCCAATGGTTTAAATGGGAGCAGTCAAAATGACGGCTCTGGGATAATGGCGTGTCAGTCATTATTGTGTGTAGCTGCTAGCTTACGCATGCTCTCTGTTGCTAAGGGCGATGTGACCACTCCTGGACGAATATGAGGTAAAACAAAAAAAGAATAGAAGTCGTTTAGATCGAACGATAAATCCCACGTTTCAGTGAGACACAGTGAGACACAGAGAGACACAGAGAGACACACAGAGACACAGACACAGAGACACAGACACAGAGACACAGAGAGACACACAGAGAGACACAGAGAGACACACAGAGACACAGACACAGAGAGACACAGAGAGACACACAGACACAGAGACACAGAGAGACACAGACACAGAGACACAGAGAGACAGAGACACAGAGACACAGACACAGAGAGACACACAGAGACACAGACACAGAGAGACACACAGACACAGAGAGACAGAGACACAGACACAGAGAGACACAGAGAGAAACAGAGACACAGAGAGACAGAGACACAGAGAGACACAGACACAGAGACACAGAGAGACAGAGACACAGAGAGACACAGAGAGACACAGAGAGAGACAGATAGACACAGACACAGAGAGACAAAGAGACACAGACACAGAGAGAGACAGAGAGACACAGAGAGACACAGAGAGACACAGAGAGACAGAGAGACACAGAGACAGAGAGACACAGAGAGATAGAGAGACACAGAGACACAGACACAGAGAGACACAGAGAGAGACACAGAGACACAGAGAGACACAGAGACACAGAGAGACAGAGACACATACACAGAGATACATACACAGAGACACAAAGACAAAGAGAGATGAGACACAGAGAGACACAGAGACACAGAGAGAGACAGAGAGACAGAGAGACACAGAGACAGAGAGACACAGAGAGAGACAGAGACACAGAGACAGAGAGACACAGAGACAGAGAGACACAGACACAGAGAGACAGAGAGACACAGAGAGACACAGACACAGAGACACAGAGAGACAGAGACACAGACACAGAGAGACACAGAGACACAGAGAGACACACAGAGACAGAGACACAGAGAGACACACAGAGACACACAGAGACACAGAGACAGAGAGACACACAGATAGACACAGAGAGACACACAGAGAGACACAGAGAGACAGAGACACAGAGAGACAGAGACACAGATACACAGACACGGAGAGACAGAGAGACAGAGAGACACAGAGACACAGAGAGACACAGACACAGAGAGACAGAGACACAGAGAGACACAGAGAGAGACAGATAGACACAGACACAGAGAGACACAGAGACACAGAGAGAGACAGAGAGACACAGAGAGACAGAGAGACACAGAGACACAGAGAGACAGAGAGACACAGAGACAGAGAGACACAGAGAGATAGAGAGACACAGAGACACAGACACAGAGAGACACAGAGAGAGACACAGAGACACAGAGAGACACAGAGAGACAGAGACACATACACAGAGATACATACACAGAGACAAAGAGAGATGAGACACAGAGAGAGACAGAGAGACACAGAGACAGAGAGACACAGAGAGACACAGAGAGAGAGAGACAGAGACACAGAGACAGAGAGACACAGAGAGACACAGAGACAGAGAGACACAGACACAGAGAGACACAGAGAGAGACACAGAGACACAGAGAGACACAGACACAGAGAGACACACAGAGAGACACAGAGAGACAGAGACACAGAGAGACAGAGACACAGATACACAGACACGGAGAGACAGAGAGACACAGAGACACAGAGACACAGAGAGACACAGACACAGAGAGACAGAGACACAGAGAGACACAGAGAGAGACAGATAGACACAGACACAGAGAGACACAGAGACACAGACACAGAGAGAGACAGAGAGACACAGAGAGACACAGAGAGACAGAGAGACACAGAGACACAGAGAGACAGAGAGACACAGAGACAGAGAGACACAGAGAGATAGAGAGACACAGACACAGAGAGAGACACAGAGACACAGAGAGACACAGAGACACAGAGAGACAGAGACACATACACAGAGATACATACACAGAGACAAAGAGAGATGAGACACAGAGAGACACAGAGAGAGACAGGGAGACAGAGAGACACAAAGACAGAGAGACACAGAGAGACACAGAGAGAGAGAGACAGAGACACAGAGACAGAGAGACACAGAGAGACACAGAGACAGAGAGACACAGACACAGAGAGACACAGAGAGAGACACAGAGACACAGAGAGACACAGACACAGAGAGACACACAGAGTGACAGAGAGACAGAGAGACACACAGAGAGACACAGAGAGACACACAGAGAGACATAGAGAGACAGAGACACAGAGAGACAGAGACACAGACACACAGACACGGAGAGACAGAGAGACACAGAGACACAGAGAGACACAGACACAGAGACACAGAGAGACAGAGACACAGAGAGACACAGAGAGAGACAGATAGACACAGACACAGAGAGACACAGAGACACAGAGAGAGACAGAGAGACACAGAGAGACAGAGAGACACAGAGACACAGAGAGACAGAGAGACACAGAGACAGAGAGACACAGAGAGATAGAGAGACACAGAGACACAGACACAGAGAGACACAGAGAGAGACACAGAGACACAGACACAGAGACACAGAGACACATACACAGAGATACATACACAGAGACACAGAGACAAAGAGAGATGAGACACAGAGAGACACAGAGAGAGACAGAGAGACACAGAGACACAGAGAGAGAGAGAGAGAGAGACAGAGACACAGAGACAGAGAGACACAGAGACAGAGAGACACAGACACAGAGAGACACAGAGACAGAGAGACACAGAGACACAGAGACACAGAGACACAGAGAGACACAGAGACAGAGAGAGAGAGACACGAGGTCATAAACATAAAGATAAACATTGATCTTGGTTGGAGCTGAGGTGACTCTGGGTCAGAAAAGGCCTCTTTATATCATTATGTGTGACTTTTTGGCCATAATTTAGTTTAGCCCTCAGTAATTCAGTGCTAATTTGTGTATAACATTTGTTTTATTGGTATTTAGCACTGATTAGTCCTTATTCTACATGGCCTTATTCAGCATCTGACTAACTACTCACTGACACTGACCATGTGGGCTAGGGCTAGCTTTAGCGTTTGGGTTAGCTTTAGGGTTAGGGCTAGCTTTAGCGTTTGGGTTAGCTTTAAGGTTAGGGCTAGCTTTAGCGTTTGGGTTAGCTTTAAGGTTAGGGCTAGCTTTAGGGCTTTAAGGTTTTGTTATTCTATTGCAACTTGCAAATGTTCTTTATTTCCTTAACATTTATTGAGGCTATTTGTGAAGCTCATTCCTCACGTTCTACAATAAAACTGTCTAATATTAACAGATCTATACAAACTCTTAAAGAGCGACTAAACACCAAATCAACTTTTTTTAACTCATAAACTGCTTATGAGTTAAAAAAAGTTGATTTGGTGTTTAGTTGCTCTTTAAGAAAGGACAGTCCTTTATCGATCCCGTCATCTGCTCAAACCAAGGCTACGTTTATTAAGCTAGTTCTAAGACATCTGTCTGTCCAGTCTCTTCCTGGTTCAGACTAAAACATCCGCCTCTCTCGTTTGTGACCCGCTGTTACTGACCCTCACATGCTGTGACCTCTGCACTTTTACTCTGATGCATTGTGGGTAAGAGCTGAGCCCGCGTGATGGCGTAATCCTCTCTTCTTTGTCCCTCTGGCCCCGTCACTCTGTCCTACACCTCTGTCCTACACCTCTGTCCTTCACCTCTGTCCTACACCTCTGTCCTACACCTCTGTCCTACACCTCTGTCCTACACCTCTGTCCCGCCTCTGTCCTACACCCGTCCTACACCTCTGTCCTACACCTGTCCTACACCTCTGTCCTACACTTCTGTCTTACACCTCTGTCCTACACCTATGTCCTACACCTCTGTCCTACACCTCTTTACAGAATCACTGTTTCTGACCAGTGACGGACTAACGCTTCTGGTACGTCGGCTCCATCACCGCCGAAAAGTCTGTCACGATAATTACAGTCCAAAGACTGTAAAGATGGGGAAAGACCCAGGACCAAGGCTGTAGATCCAGGACCGAGGCTGTAGACTCAGGACCAAGGCTGTAGATCCAGGACCGAGGCTGTAGACTCAGGACCGAGGCTGTAGACCCAGGACTGAGGCTGTAGATCCAAATCTTGATTTGTTTCAGAGTTCCCTTCTCAAAAACCTCAGCTCATTCTCGTCAATGGGAAACGTCTGTAGTTTGGACAGAGTTATCGTGACAGGCTGAACACTTCCATGGCATGTCTTCTCTTACTGCATGAGTGTTTTCAGAGTATTTCAGTTTGAGTCCAGTGAGTGCAGAGATCTGAGACTTAAAACCACTCTATAGATTATATTCTGCTTCAAAACGCACATATATATATATCTGTCTAATGATAACGCTAATGTTAGTGTCTAATGCTAATGCTAACGTAAATACAGTACTTACCAGGACATGAGGGCTACAGTGTCCTCTGCAGCTGTATTTTACAGTGTATGCACGGCTTTTGACAGCTGCAGCAGCTCAGATCTACAACAGGTTTGAGGTCCCTGAGATCACACTTCAGTCGTGAGCAGAGCTGGGAACGTTACTGCAATATTACTGTAAATTATTACACTACTGCAGTACTTTGAAGTTACTTTCACCAAATATATAAATACAAACTAAATGTAGCTTATGATGATGTGATGAATTAAACGACTGTAGTAACCTTAGTGCTGAGAGAGGATGAAGAGTGTGAGGGTTCTGCAGCTGCTGCTTCAGGCTGTGGTTAGAGCACATCACACCAGCGACAAACCTCTGTATTTATGGTTCTTTTGTGTCGTCTGACTGTTTATTATTGACTCTGAATGATGTAACTGTGACGCATGGATCTTCTCAAAAACATGCAAGTTTACGGAGCTTGCATTGGTTTTACATCTGTGGGTGTCAAAATCACTGCTGGTCTGTTAGTGTGGGTGTCAAAATGACTGCTGACCCGGTGACTTTCCCCTGTGTCTGTGGCAGTCGACGGCCCCCTCCTTCTCCGACCCACTGAGCTCCTTCTGCTGCGACGTGGACCACAGCGCCACCTGCTGCTCCCAACCCTCCATGCTCCCTCTGTCTCCGAGAACACAGGACACACACCTGCGTGCTCTACATGCTCTATGATAACCGTGATGATAATAATCTGCTGTAGAAGCGTCACAGTCTTCTACTGTGTCAGAGTCATTGTAGAGAACAAAGGACTCCAAGAGCAGTCATTATGACTGCTCCTATTCAAATCAATGGAAGTCAGAACTATTACCCCAACAAATATTTATGAGAAAAAAAAATATGTATGCGTTGTATGAGCTTTAATATATGTTAAAACTGGAGGAAGTAACTTGAAATACAGAAAAAAACAGTTAGCATTTGAAAGGCTACAAAATGCTAACTGCTGTCAAGTAAACAGAGTGTCGCTATGGTAACAAGCACTCGCTCTTCTCTGGCGGAAAACTGACACGGCTATCAACTAGTCCAGGACCGGTCCAGGACCAGTTCAAGACCAGTACCTTGAGAAAAGATGATTTAACTGCTATAGAATGTTGGTTGCTAAGCGAGTGAATGGAGCAGTGAATGGAGCAGTCAAAACGACGGCTCTGGGAGTTAAAGGTAGAACTTACACACATTTCAAAAAGAAAAGATAATATCATAAATGTCTAACACAGAGAATTATAAAAAGTCACAAAAAAATTGACCGCTCTGGGAGTTCTGGTGCTACCGCTCACTCTTCTACGGCATTGAACATTTAAGAATATTCAGACTTGGCTTTTGCTGCTTGTATTGTACAGATCTACAGGGAACATGTAAATACGGTGAAATGACAGAAGCAGGACCCTGTGTGGTCAGAGACAGATTAGTCCAGCTCCATCTCCCAAATCCTGACCTCTGACCCCTGACCCCGCCCCTTCTTTGTGGCGTGAATCGGATGAATGTGTTTATCGCAGTCGCCCGAGCAGAGGCAGCCCCACGCCCTTCGACTCCTAGAAGACTTTCCCTTTGTCATCTTTCACCTCCATCGCTGCAAACTCTGAACTCACGACGGAAACAAGCGTCTGGTCCTGAAGAAAAGCCAGACCTGAAGTGCGATGTCCTGGACGTGTTTTGACTGTTTTATTTCTGTTTCTGTTTCCTCCTTTCGTCCTAGTGGTCACGGGGGTGAGTGACAGCCACAAGTCACAAAGTTCCAACCGTTTTAACCCTTTGTGCTGTGGTGGAAAGAAACGGCATCGGTCAAAGTCAAAATGGTCGGTTACAAAAACTGTCGCCGTCAAGAACAATGCTAATGCTAGCGACAGCTGTGTCTCTGGGCAGTACCTGCTGGACTATTACCTGTAAACAAACCACACCAGATACATTTGGAAAGAGGTGCATTTGGTCCACATTTGGTCCACATTTGGGCCACACTGGACTAAAAGACTGAGAGACTCTGATGGAAAGACACGATTTAAGGCGAGGTGTAAAGCAGTGAATCCAGTCTATTTCAACAATAAACGTCCCATTTTTACTAAAACTTTAGTCTAAAAAGTCTTTAAACTGCTCCGACAAAAGCCCAAGTCACGTATAAACAAGTCCTGTGCACGTCCTGGTCCCTCTCTACTGTTCACATAAACCGTTCAGTTCAATGTAAATGTGAACAGCAGGTCTGGGAGGACTTTACAAAGATCAGAGAATCAAACAGTTAGAACACAGGAAATGCATTAATAACAAACACATGCATTTCTAACCCCAACCCTGGATCATCACGGTCCTTAGACCCAGGACTGAGGCTATAGACCCAGGACTGAGGCTGTAGATCCAGGACTGAGGCTGTAGACCCAGGACTGAGGCTGTAGATCCAGGACTGAGGCTGTAGACCCAGGACTGAGGTTGTAGATCCAGGACTGAGGCTGTAGACCCAGAACTGAGGCTGTAGACCCAGGACTGAGGCTGCAGATCCAGGACTGAGGCTGTAGATCCAGGACTGAGGCTGCAGACCCAGGACTGAGGCTGTAGACCCAGGACTGAGGCTGTAGACCCAGGACTGAGGCTGTAGACCCAGGACTGAGGCTGTAGACCCAGGACTCACAACGGGGGAGACTCAAACACACACATTGCTGTATAGTAACTTTTAGTCCGGCAGGTAGTGCTCACAGGTCTACAACTATATGTTTGAGGCACTGGAATATTAAAATATTATATATATATATATATATATATATATATATATATATATAAAAAGAATGTTTTCCTTTCCACCACTGTGTGATTGTGTGTGTTTGTGTGTGATTGTGTGAAATTCTGTGAAAGTGTGTTTTGTGTTTAAATCCTTTATGTATTTGTTCCATTGATGTCACATCATTAACCTGATAATTACTGCATTTAACTCTTTATTTCTCCCATAAGTGTGTGTGAGTGTGTGTGTGTGTGTCTGTGAGTGTGTGTCTGTGAGTGTGTGTCTGTGTGTATGAGTGTGATGTGTCCGTCTTGTGTGATTGTTGTGTTTCTCATTCTTATGTTGTATCAAAGTGTTGTGTTGATGGTTATTTATTGAAAAGACTGTTTCCTGTTTGTTGAAAATAAAAGTCTAGTGTAAGAATTCTGTAAATGTCTTTATTAAATGACTTGGACCATACGCGGGCTCTGATTGGTTGATTTGCGGTCTGATATTTTCCCATCTCGGACCGTTACCATGACAATCGGTCCGCAGCCCGTTTCACACAAAACCAAGTCCGACATGAACATACTTCACAAATATCTCCAAAGCATTGGACACAGACGAGAGTCATATAATAAAACATTTATTAACCTCACTTCCTCGGTCTGTGCAGAGAAATATCAGACCGCGGCCTTAAAGAGCGACTAAACACCAAATCAACTTTTTTTAACTCATAAACTGCATAAGTATGTTTATTGTAGTGCTGTCAACATATCCTGGTCATTTTTTTGACATTTTAGTTCAAATTAGATAAAATATCACTTTTGAGCCAAAAAAACTCTGTGTGGCGCCCTCTCAACCTTTTTGGTGGTACTACATTTGAATTTGGTTCTGGCCTCTCCATTGACTCTGAAGTTCTCTATGACATCAGTTGTTTTGTGTGACGTCAGTCTGTCAGAGCCAGTGATGTGAACCCATTCAACTCTCACTCACGCCCCAGCTGCAGTTTGGAGTATTCTGGCACCATCTAGTGGATTACAATTAAATTACATGAGTCATTCTGAGATTATAGAGTGTAATTAGGTTCAGGTGTGTAGCTTTACAATTATCTTAGTGTATAAACAAGGGTGGAATGAGACTTTCTGGTCTGTAAACTATTGCTTTAAGCAGCAATGACAACTGTCTGCTTTTTTTTTGTGTGACAAGTGAGCTGTCAATCAGCCCAGACCACGCCCAACTCTAAGCCCCCCTTCTTGTCCCTTAGTCCTCCAGGCAACGCCCTTTTTAGAGAACATTTTCAAATCTTCATGTGGGCGGAGTAAGGCTGGGCACAGGTGTTTAGTCGCTCTTTAATGCACAGACCGAGCCGTGGCGAGGTCTGTGCAAAAAGGCCAAAAAGACCTCGCGCTCGGTTAATAAGCCGTTATTATTAATTGCATTTTTATTGTTTGTTTGAGAAAAACGCACCTTTTGTCCTGAAAGTCTGAACCTGAACCAGTCTGAGGACTCGGAAGTTGTCAAATCCTCTGCAGCAGATCAGAAAATCAAATGAATACAGGAAATACAACAATAACAAACACTTGGGGGCCGTGGGACTCGGGCCGTGGGACTCGGGCCGTGGGACTCGGGCCGTGGGACTCGGGCCGTGGGACTCGGGCCGTGGGACTCGGGCCGTGGGACTCGGGCCGTGGGACTCGGGCCGTGGGACTCGGGCCGTGGGACTCGGGCCGTGGGACTCGGGCCGTGGGACTCGGGCCGTGGGACTCGGGCCGTGGGACTCGAGCCGTGGGACTCGAGCCGTGGGACTCGAGCCGTGGGACTCGGGCCGGGGGTAGTCTGGTCCAGGGCGAGAACTGAGGCCACATGTAACAGATTTCACAGACCAACAAATGTGAATATATTTTTATGAATTTATAACATATCCATCCATCCATCCATTTTCTTCCGCTTTATCTGTTGCCGGGTCGCGGGGGCAGCAGTCTAAGCAGAGACGCCCAGACTTCCCTATCCACACACACCTCCTCAAGCTCGTCCGGGGGGACCCCTAGGCGTTCCCAGGCCAGCTGAGAGACATAGTCTCTCCAGCGTGTCCTGGGTCTTCCCCGGGGCCTCCTCCCGGTGGGACGTGCCCGGAACACCTCCCCAGGAAGGCGTCCAGGAGGCATCCTGAACAGATGCCCGAGCCACCTCAACTGGTTCCTCTCGACGTGGAGAAGCAGCGGCTCTACTCCGAGCTCCTCCCGTGTGACCGAGCTCCTCACCCTATCTCTAAGGGAGCGCCCAGCCACTCTGCGGAGGAAGCTCATTTCGACCGCTTGTATCCGCGATCTCGTTTCTTTCGGTCATTACCCACAGCTCATGACCATAGGTGAGGGAGGGAACGAAGATTGACCGGTAAATTGAGAGCTTTGCCTTTCGGCTCAGCTCCCTCTTTACCACAACGGTCCGATACAGAGACCGCATCACTGCGCACGCTGCACCGATCCGCCTGTCAATCTCACGCTCCATCCTCCCCTCACTCGTGAACAAGACCCCGAGATACTTGAACTCCTCCACTTGAGGAAGGACCTCTCCACCCACCTGGAGAGGGCAAGGCACCTTTTTCCGGTCAAGCACCATGGCCTCGGATTTGGAGGTGCTGATTCTCATCCCAGCCGCTTCACACTCGGCTGCAAACCGTCCCAGTGCATGTTGCAGGTCCTGGTTCGTTGGAGCCAGCAGGACGACATCATCCGCAAAAAGTAGAGATGAAATCCTGTGGTTCCCGAACCGGACCCCCTCCGGCCCCTGGCTGCGCCTAGAGATTCTGTCCATAAATACAGTGAACAGAACCGGTGACAAAGGGCAGCCTTGGCGGAGGCCAACATGCACCGGGAACAGGTCTGACTTACTGCCAGCAATGCGAACACAGCTCTGGCTCCGGTCATACAGGGACCGAACAGCCCTCAGCAGAGGACCCCGGACCCCGTACTCCCGGAGGACCCCCCAAAGGACACCCCGGGGAACGCGGTCGAACGCCTTCTCCAAATCCACAAAGCACATGTGGACAGGTTGGGCGAACTCCCATGAACCCTCGAGTATCCGATGGAGAGTATAGAGCTGGTCCAGTGTTCCGCGACCGGGACGAAAACCACACTGCTCCTCCTGAATCCGAGATTCGACCATCGGACGAAGCCTCCTCTCCAGTACCTTGGAGTAGACCTTACCGGGGAGGCTGAGGAGTGTGATCCCACGATAATTGGAACACACCCTCCGGTCCCCCTTCTTGTAGAGAGGGACCACCACCCCGGTCTGCCACTCCATTGGCACCGCCCCCGATCGCCACGCGATGTTGCAGAGACGTGTCAGCCAAGACAGTCCTACAACATCCAGAGACTTTAGATAGTCAGGACGGATCTCATCCACTCCCGGCGCCTTGCCACCATGGAGGCTGCCAACCACCTTGGTGACCTCGGCCAGGGAGATGGAAGTATCCGCCCCAACATCCTCAGCCTCTGCCTCCTGGACGGGGGACGTGACGGGGGGATTGAGGAGAACCTCGAAGTATTCCTTCCACCGCCCGACAATATCCCCAGTCGAGGTCAGCAGCCCTCCACCCGCACCATACACGGTGTTGGCAAAGAACTGCTTCCCCCTCCTGAGGCGCCGGACGGTTTGCCAGAACCTCTTCGAGGCCGACCGATAGTCATGCTCCATGGACTCTCCGAACTCCTCCCAGTCCCGGGTTTTTGCCTCTGCAACAGCCCGGGCCGCGGCACGTTTGGCCTGCCGGTACTGGACAGCTGCCTCAGGAGTCCCACGAACCATCATTGCTCGATAGGACTCCTTCAGCCTGACGGCATCCCTTACTGCCGGTGTCCACCACCGGGTTCGGGGATTGCCGCCGGGACCAGCACCAGAGACCTTGCGACCACAGCTACGAGCCGCCGCATTGGCGATAGAGGAAGAGAACATGGTCCACTCGGACTCGATGTCCCCCTCCTCTGCCGGGACCTGGGAGAAGCTCTCCCGGAGGTGTGAGTTGAAAGTCCGTCTGACAGGGGGCTCAGCGAGACGTTCCCAGCAAACCCTCACTACACGCTTGGGCCTGCCAGGTCTGACCGGCCTCCTGCCCTGCCAGCGGATCCAACTCACGACCAGGTGATGATCGGTTGACAGCTCCGCCCCTCTCTTCACCCGAGTGTCCGAGACACGCGGTCGAAGGTCAGATGATACGACTACAAAGTCGATCATCGACCTCCGGCCTAGGGCGTCCTGGTGCCACGTGCACTGATGGACACCCTTGTGCTCGAACATGGTGTTCGTGATGGACAGGCCGTGACTGGCACAGAAGTCCAACAACTGAACACCGCTCGGGTTCAGATCAGGGGGGCCGCTCTTCCCGATCACCCCTCTCCAAGTGTCACTGGCATTTCCCACATGGGCGTTGAAGTCCCCCAGGAGAATAACGGAGTCCCCGGGCGGTGCACTGTCCAGTACCCCTCCCAAGGACTCCAAGAAGGCCGGGTACTCTGCACTACCGTTAGGCCCGTAGGCCGTCACAACAGTGAGAGACTTGTCCCCCACCCGGAGGCGGAGGGACGCGACCCTCTCATTCACCGGGGAGAACTCCAACACGTGGCGGCTGAGATGGGGGGCAATGAGTATGGCCACCCCAGCTCGCCGCCTCTCCCCGCGGGAAACACCAGAAAAGTGGAGCGTCCAACCCCTCTCAAGGAGTTGGGTTCCAGAGCCCAAGCTGTGTGTGGAGGTGAGGCCGACTATCTCTAGTCGGTATCGCTCAACCTCCCCCACAAGCTCGGGCTCCTTCCCCCCCAGTGAGGTGACGTTCCACGTCCCAAGAGCCAGATGTTGGGTGTGTGGACTGGGTCGTCGAGGTCTCCGCCTTCGACTGCTGCCCAGTCCTCTCTGCACCTCGCCACCACGGACCCCTCTGCAGGTGGTGAGCCCACAGGAGGGACTGCCCACGTCATCCCTTCGGGCTGAGCCCGGCCGGGCCCCGTGGGCTAAGGCCCGGCCACCAGGCGCTCGCTTGCGAGCCCCGACCCCAGGCCTGGCTCCAGGGTGGGGCCCCGGCTGCGCCATGCCGGGCGACGTCACGGTTTTTGTTGTCGTGCTGTCCATGGTTGGCTTCGGACTGCGCTTCGTCTGACTCGTCACTTGAGACCTGTCTGCCATGGGAGACCCTACCAGGGGCATGAAGCCCCAGACAGCATAGCTCCCATATATTTATGCATATACTATAAGCCATATATATATATATATATATATATATATATATATATATATATATATATATATATATATATATATATCCATCCATTTTCTCCCCCTTAATCCATTTCTGGGTTGGGGGGGTGGCGGTCAGAGCACCAGCCCCTCCCTAATCCTCCTGCAGGTGCTGAGTCCACAGGAGCTGAGATCTTTCAGTGGGAGCTTCAGGCAAAGTGGGGTTAAGTGTCTGGCCCAAGGGTCGAGAAGTAGGTCTTTAGGTGGGCTCGAACCCACAACTGTAAGGCCAATACTCTACCAACTGAGCCACTGTCGCCCCTTGTATATATGTATATACTGTACATAGATATATATGTACAGTAGTGATGGGTCCAGGAACACTGATACACCGGCGCATGTGCCGAGTTCGTTTAGCGAAACCTCGTATCGGCGCGCGTGTCGCTTTATGAAAAAGCCACGTGACCGATACAGCCGCAGTGTCGCTTGTCACCGACACGGCAAACTGTGTTTAAAAGGTTCCGCATCTGCAAGTGTCACCGGTATGAACCGCTCTCAGAAAAAGAAAATAACCCTTTCAAAAAGGAAAAACATCCCATTTTACAGCATAAAAAATGGAACCTGCAACTAAAAGAAAGTATTCTGCAGTGTGATACTGCAAATAACAGCAAATAAGGCAATGTCTGTATTTTACATTTCACGCTTTATCTACAATCAAGATTTAGTTTGAAACGAAAAATCTAGTTAGGCATGATGGATGAGTGGATAGCGCTCTCACCCCGCGTTAGAGAGAACGGTACGTTCCCCAGTCGGACCCTCAAAAGCTTATGCTGACATCAGTCTTGAAGAATGACTTTGAGAAATTGAAGTGTAGAAAATGTCAAAGGTTTTTTCAAGTATACTTTAGTTAACAGGGTTTAGAGTGCACTTTGGACATGCTTATTGTTTTGAAAAAAAAAAAATATATATATATATATAAAATCACTCAATGACATTTTGCTTAATGAATACATTCACAACTATCACTTTAATTTTCACATAAAAATAAAATAATAACACAGACAATGCAGTTACGTAATATTGTGTACAGACAAGTAGGTAAAGCTCATTGAATCAGTGAGTTGCAATGATTTATCTGATCCACCAGGCGTCAGTATAGAGCAGCACAAGCAACACTGTTGCGGCACAGTATCAATACAGTTCGTTGGATGTGCCTAAACGATACGTGAGGTTTCATTTACCCATCACTAGTACAGTATATAACATACAGTGCCTTGTGAAAGTATTCGGCCCCCTTGAACCTTTCAACATTTCGCCACATTTCAGGCTTCAAACATAGATATAAAATTTTATTTTTTTTGTCATGAATCAACAAGTGGGACACAATCGTGAAGTGGAACAAAATGTATTGGATAATTTAAAAATGTTTAACAAATAAAAAACTGAAAAGTGGGGCTTGCAATATTATTGGGCCCCTTTACTTTCAGTGCAGCAAACTCAGTCCAGAAGTTCAGTGAGGATCTTTGAATGATCCAATGTTGTCCTAAATGACTGATGATGATAAATAGAATGCACCTGTGTGTAATAAAGTCTCCGTATAAATGCACCTGCTCTTTGATAGTCTCAGGGTTCTGTT